TTTGCTATTTTACGCTGGGTAACACCATTCTGGTATTGCTGCACTATATTTCTGCGCAACAATGGTGGAATTGGTGATCCTCTTACCATCTTGGCTTCTGAGAGACACTAACACTCTGAGAAGCTCTTTTTATACCCAGTCATGTTGTCAATTGACCTAATTAGTGTTAATTGGTCTTCCAGCGGTTCGTTATATGCTCAATTTCCTTTTTCCAGCCCCTTATTGCTACTTAACTTGTCCCAACTTTTTTGGGGTTTGCTGACACTGTGAACTTTTGAATCAACATATTTTTCCTTTAAAATGTTACATTTACTCAGATTAAACTTTTGATCTGTCATCTATGTTATATCACGAATAAAATATTGACATTTTGTAACGAGTCTGTATGGATCAGCACAAGACCTGACTCAGGACATTAAAATAAAAGGTTTTATTTATTAAAGGCGTTTGTCTGGGGAGGATCCGAGCCTCAGTTCTGGTCCAATCTTCTGTGGCAGGAGCAGGGCTGAGACAGAGAACGTTGGAGGGCTGGGCAGGAAACAGAATCCAGGGACGTAGCAGGGGTCGAGAGCCAGGAGCTGTGTGAACAGGCAAAAGGATGATCCGTAGACGTGGTCGAAGAGGAGAGCGAGGTTGTACCATGTAGGCCGAGAGTGTGGTATCCAGACAGGGGCAAAGACAAAGCGAGGAGTCAAGAGGGAAGCTGTGGTCAAAAACAAAGAAACTAGGAACAAGCGAATGCTGGATAATTTACTGGCTGTGAGGCTTTCAATAATCTGGCACTGAGGAGAGTGAGAGTGGAGCTTAAGTAATGAGCTGAACAGGTGTGGCAGGTGAGTGGTGATTGCAGAGACAGGGTGCAGCAGATGAGTGCAGATTGCTGAGAGAGAGTGACAGGAGCAGAAAATGGGTGATAGGCAGTGCAGGACCAAACAGGATGAAATAAACAGAAACTGAGGCAGGAAAAAACGTGAATGATCTTAAAACAGGGGCTGTGATATGAGGAGCAGAGGCTTAGGCAGATGGGGGGGCAGCGGGGGCCGCTGAGCGTGACACATTTGCCATCTCCACATCATTGCATTCAGTTTTTATTCACAATTTGTTTAGTGTCTCAACTGTTTTGGAATCTGGCTTGTAAATTTAATATATTAAATTTCAGTATACTTAAGTATATTTTATTTTCACCATGGTAGTGATGGTTTGGAGTGTCATGTCATCGGCTGGTGTTGGTCCACTGTGTTTTCTGAGGTCAAAGGTCAATGCAGTCATCTACCAGGAAGTTTTAGAGCACTTCCTGCTGCTGACCAATTTTATGGAGATGCAGATTTCATTTTCCAACAGGACTTGGCACCTGCACACAGTACTAAAGTTACCAGTACCTGGTTTAAGGACCATGGTATCCCTGTTCTTAATTGTTCAGCAAATTCACCTGACCCTAACCTCATAGAAAATTTATGGTGTATTGTGAAGAAGAAGATGTGATATACCAGACCCAACAATTCAGAAGAGCTGAAGGCCACTATCAGAACAACCTGGACTCTCATAACACCTGAGCAGAGCCACAGACTGATCGACTCCATGCCACACTGCATTACTGCAGTAATCCAGACAAAAGGAACAACAACTAAGTATTGATGCTGTACATGCTCATACTTTTCATGCTCA